TCCTTTGTTATAATCTGATTGTCTCGAGAGCAGATCTGCCTTTATATGCTTCCTTCCAGGCATATGGTGTATCATAAAATGATACTGGCTTAACTTCGTCATTCACCGTGCCTGTCTTCTATTCAACTTCTTTGGTTCTTTGAAATACAACAGATTTTGATGATCTGTCCATATCTCAAACTCTTCCTCCGCATCTATTAAGTAATGTCTCCATTCATTAAGTGCTGTCATGATGGCGAGAAGTTCTTTGTCATAGATCTTGTAATTGCGTTCTGTGGGATTCAACGCTTTGGAGAGATATGCAATTGGCTTCCAGTCATCTTTTTGTCTTTGTGATAAGATCGCACCCATTGCGAAGTCACTACTGTCTGCTTCTACTTTGTATTGGCCATGTGGTACTGGGAGAGCTAACACTGGGGCAGACGCTACACGTTGTTTCAAGTTGTTAAATGCTTCGCGTTGTTCATTTCCCCAAATGAAGTCCTCTTTTCCCGTTAACTTGGTCAATGGTTTGGCTACTTCCCCAAAGCCCTCTATGAACCTTCTGTAGAAATTTACAAAGCCCAAAAATGCTTGTATGTCTTTCTTATTTTTGCATTCTGGCCATTTGCTAATTCCTTCTACTTTCACCGGATCCATGCAAATTTCGTTTTCTGAGATGATCAGTCCCAGATATTCTACTTCTGTTTGTTTGAAATCACATTTCTCTGGTTTAAGATAGAGATGGTTTTTTCTCAGGATTTCTAATACACGTCGCGTGTTATGATTTGTCTATCTATATTACGGACTACTCATTTCTCTTTACTCATCGGTTATACCATCGGACCGATGACTCACATCCCTCACATACACTTTCGCTCCTCTCGCATTTCTATTACTTTGTATAGTACTCAGTCCTCAACGGACAGACCTACCCTAGATAGTATTAAGAACAAAGCTTGAAGGAAGTGTCTAGCCACTTTCTGAGAGCAATCAGGGACTGGAACTAGAGTCCAATGTGAGTAACTTTATTATCAGAGAGTATGACAGGTATACAGTACCTAGAGTCCAATGTGAGTAACTAGAGAATAGGAAGCATTGGACTCTGCAATACTGTCCGAAGTTTTGTAAACAAAGGTAAACAAAGCAGCCACAAAGGCGAAATAATAGAGAACACAATCAATAGTGAATGATAGAAGAATAGATAGAGAAAGGAATGAAAATATATAGGTAGCACAAAGGTGCAGAATCACCAAAACTAACACTCCCCCCTGATGCTGCACCTCCCAAGCATCAGCTCCCCCCTGATCTAATAAGTCCCATCATCTTCCTGAACACTTCCACTTTAGGCTTGGCAAGAGCCTTGGTCAACAAGTCTGCAGGCATTTCAGCAGTGGGAACAAAGGTAGGAGCAATCTGCCCAGAGTCAACAACATCTCTCAACCAATGCCATCACAGATCAAGGTGTTTCATCCGACCATGGTGCTCAGGGTTCTTGGATACAGAGATGGCAGATTGGTTGTCAATATGAAGGGTGGAAGGAGAGGTGATAGGATAGCCCATTTCCTTCAACAAATTTCGCATCCAGCAAATCTCTTTGCCAGCCTCAACAGCAGCAATGTATTCTGCTTCAGTGGTGGACAGAGCAACAATGTTCTGAAGCTTGGAGCTCCAGGAGACAGCACCAGATCCCATCTTGACAATATAGGCACCAGTAGAACGACCAGAGTCCTTGTCACCACCATGATCAGCATCAGAGAAAGTGGTGAAGAGTTCAGTGGAATTGGGATCAGGACCAAGGACAAGGGAATGATTAAGGGTGCCTTGCAAGTAGCGGAACAAGTGCTTGACAGCGCTCCAGTGAGTAAGACCAGGATTAGAGTTATATCTGGCAAGGACTCCAACAGTGTAGGCAATGTCAGGACGAGTGGTAGTGGCCAGATACATCAGAGCACCAACAGCAGCAAGGTAGGGAATGTCCTTCATCAAAGCAGCATCACTGGATGTTTTGGGAGACATGTCCTTGGTGAGGCGCAAACCAGGATCCATGGGAGTGGACACAGGCTTGCAGTCCTTCATGCCAAAGCGCTCCAGAATGTCCAGAGTGTACTGATGTTGGGAGAGGGAGATGGTGCGATTACTTAGGTCTCTAGTGATGGAAATGCCAAGTAGGTAAGAAGTAGGGCCAAGATCACGAAGCTTAAAGTGCAGGGAGAGGTCCTTGACAGCTTGGTCAAGTGCAGAAGTAGAAGTGGATGCCAGTGTCATGTCATCAACAAAGACAGGCAGGATAATGCGCACATCAGCTCTGTTAAAGACATAGATGGCAGAGTCTGAATAAGTACGCTTGAATCCGAGTTTTTCAAGCACAGTGTGCATCTTCTGGTTCCACATTCTGCCTCCCTGCTTTGTCCCATAGATGGCCTTGTCCAACTGGCAAACAAGATTGCGAGGACCCTGATGGAATCCCTCTGGCTGATGCATGTAGACCTTGACATCCATGACTCCATTCAGGAATGCATGGGAAATGTCAATGGAGCGCAAATGGAGGTTGTGGATGGCTGCAATGGCAAGGACAACTCTGATGGATGATATGCGGACAGTAGGTGCAAATATTTCGAGGAAATCAAAGCCAGGGCGCTGGTTATAACCTTTGGCCACATATCTGGCCTTGTAGCGCTCAACAGTGCCATCTGAGTTGCGCTTGATCTTGAAGACCCACTTGCCACCAATAGCCTTGACTCCAGGAGGTAGTTCCACTAGTGACCAAGTACCATTGCGCTCATGAGCTTGAAGCTCTTCCATGGCTGCCTCTCTCCATTTATCTGCATCAGGACGCTTCATTGCATCTGCAAACGACCTAGGCTCAGCAGAGTCTCCAAAGTGTGCCACTTCATCATCAACTGCCTCAGAATCACTGTCATCACTCTCAATGGCAGGAGTAGGTTGTCTGTGTTGAAGCCACCATGGTCTAGGTGGTCTCCTAGCCCTTACAGGGCGTCTCAGTGCAATAGGCAAGTCAGGAGAAGGTGAGCGATGAGGAGGGTGATTTGGAAGCTCAGGAGGTTGATTCACAGGTGGTTTTGCATCAAGGTCCAAATGAGGCCCATTGTCAGGCAATGGTTGAGGCTGCTGAAGCGCAGCTGGTGGGCCCATATCTCCCCCTGGACCTGGTGCAGGGACATCCTCAATCAGGCCCAATGGCATGGATAGCGAAGGTGGAGTGGGAGGTGGAGGCGGGACATCGTCAGAAGACCTCTTCAAGCCAGGGAAGTAGCGCTCATCAAAATCAGCTCTCTCAGAGATAACAGTGTGCTTGGTGGTAGGATTGTAGAATTTCCATCCCTTGTATCCCTCAGGGTAACCAATGAACACACATTTCTCCATATGAGAGCCAAAGACGCCTCTTTTGTCCTTTTGCACATGCACATAGGCAGTGCAGCCCCAAACGCGAAGGTGAGACATGTCAGGCTTGCGTCCATACCACAACTCAAATGGAGTGGCATGGGCCACTGCATCAGTGGGACACCTGTTCCAGACATGCACCAAAGCGGACAGACATTCACCCCAGAAGCTGTTAGGCAATGCAGACTCTGATAACATGGCAGTGATACGCTCAGTCAGAAGTCTGTTTGCTCGCTCTGCCACACCATTCTGCTGAGGACGATTCCTGGTGGTATGCTGTCTGACAATCCCATGATCATCTGTGAATTGCTCAAATTCCTTGGACATGTACTCTCCCCCTTTGTCATCGCGCAGAGCCTTGATTTTACGCTCCAATTGAGTCTCAGCATAAGCCTTGAATCTCTTGAAAGCATCAAAGACATCTGACTTGGCCTTGAGAGGCACAACAACACGGAATCGACTGTGATCGTCAATGAAGGTGACCCAGTAGCGATAACCAGAGAATGTGGGGGAAGAGACTTGGTGTACATCAAAATGGATGAGGTCCAAAGGATGAGCAGAGCAAGTATCAGATGAGGGGAATGGATTGGCATGCATCTTGCCAGACAAGCACGGTTCACAGACAGGATCAGGAGCAGCCTTGGATTCCAGTGTAAGCCCAGTGACCAGACCTCTCTGTATCAGTCTCTTGACATCAGCATGATGGTGGTGAGCCAATCTGCGATGCCAGAGCATCAAATCAAGTGGTATAGTCGCAGTAAAATGTCCCAATTCAACACAAGCAGCAGTAGATCCATCAAGGAATGCTGCATTGTTGTCATTGATAGTTGCAGTGAACAAGAGAGTGTTGTCACGCATAAAGGACATGGAATGAGACGAAATAGTGACATTGAAACCACTTTGACGAGTTAAATACAAGACTGAGAGGAGATTATTTCGAAGATCTGGTACATGGAGCACTCTAGAGAATTCCACAGCCCTAGCCACTTTGCCATTCATCACAGGATTAAACACCACAGTACCAACACCAGCTGAATAGACAACAGTGTGATCAGCCAGCTTGATTGGCACACGATATGGGGTATAGTGGTGCATCCAATGACGATGAGGTGTCATATGAGAAGTGGCGCCTGTGTCTGCATTCCAATCAATGTCAGCATCAAGTTGGAGAGGGCAATGAGGATCAGAGGGATGAATAGAACGAAGACTTGCATTCCCAGCTGATTCAGTGACCACAGTAGATGAATTGGCATTGTTAGGCGAAGATTTGGGCTGCTGAGAGGTATTCTGAGAGTTGCTGGAGCCTGCCTGAGCCTTATTGCCACGCTTGTAGTGATTCTTAGCACCCTCCACTGCCTGTTGGCGACTAGCAATGTATCTGTGGCATTTGTCTTGGGTATGACCAAGTAAACCACAGAAATCACACTGAACGCGAGTAGAGGTGGTGGATTGGTTGCAATGATGGCAGTTAGGATGGGTGCAGGTGCTATTGGCAGTGGTAGACGAAGAATGCAAGGCAGAATCGACTTCAGCACGACGACGGCGATTGACCTCTTCAGCAAGGAAAGCATCCTTGAGCTGGGTCTTGTCCAAGGTGCCCAGAAGTAGTAGAGATGAAGTGAAGTGGGCATATTGATCAGGAAGCGCCCTAATCATGGCCATGCATGTCAATTCATCGTCCAATTCAGACAATGAGAAGCCAGTAGGACGAAGATTTTGAATCTGATGCATGCCTTCGTCAATTCTGGTCATGAGAGACTGCAGGGACTCGTCCTCCTTCTTTCTGATAGAGAAGAAGTCGTCATAGGCATTAAATCTCGTCCCAGGCTTCTTAGAGACGTGCACAATTGCCAGTTTCTCCCAGATCTTGACAGAATCATCAATGATGCCATCAAGATGGATGCGCTGCTCTTTGGTGACATTGAGATATAATGCACCAGCAGCCTTTTCAGCTCTCAACTCCCATTTCTCTATTGCTTCAGCGTCAGTCCCAGGACACTTTTCAGCGCCAGAGACGAGCCTCCACAGTCCCTTGGTCATCAACCAAGCTTGCATTTCACCACTCCACTGGGGGTAGTTAGTGCCAGATAAGGGATGGAATTTGGGATCAGAGTCAGACATGATGGGTGTTGTATAAGACAATAGAGCAATGATAAATGATGTAGGAGACGGCTATAGGCGATGGAATAGTGGCAAAGACAATGGGCAACAGTAGGAGGCGAGCAGATAAGATGGTGAGGCGGTAGAGAGAGGATATGGAGAGGGTCAGAAAGCGCAAGGATAGGTCCAAAAAGTGTCCAAAAAGCGTCCAAAAGCGATCCAGGAGGGTGCTAAGGCTTCCTAGTGCTGCTACAGGGTTACGCCTGTGTTCCCCTTTCAATTCCACACTGATATTAACAGAGAAATCGCCTCGAGACAGTGTTGGTTAATAGGGCTTGTATATGAGTCAACAAAGTGACTTAAGCTCCCCAAACACCGCAGACTGAGAGAGGCTCTAGGCAACAGCAAACTGAGGCAATGCAGGCGAGCTTCACAGTCTATAGGCTTGTTCTATCTGATAATGGACAGAGTAGAGAAGATTGGAGCTTTATGCACACACCAGATATGCCAAAAAGCGAAAAATAAGGCAAAAAGTCGAAATTGATGCAGAGACAGATAAGATGGATGGATTGCCACCAAATCAGAGGTATAGGGAACGTTTTTATAGAGTAATAGATGGCCCAAATATCACAAGAAGTGAAGCACAGGATGTGGAGATATGCAATAGGAGTCCAATAGGGGTGAAAGTGCCAAAAATGCGAACTTCACAGAGGATGATGGAGTGGATGGATTGCCCCCAAATTGACGGTGTAGAGTGCAATAGTATAGGGTAGTAGATGGCTCAAATAGGGCCAAGATCCGAGCACAGGATGTGGAGATATGGAATAGGGGGCCAAAAGGTGATCAAATGATGATGAAGGCTCACAGAAAGATCCAGCTCAAATTCAACCGCTCTGACAGGTCTCCTAGGGTTATTTAGGCCGTAGAAGACGATGGTAGAAGTTACAGGACGATCAGATAAGGATTGGGCGAGATATGGTGCAGATAAGACCAAAAAAGCGTCCGAAATGGGGGTAACTTGCAACAAGGAGTTGTTGTTGGAGATCAAGATGAGATCAGAGTAATCTGAGGTGATTGATGAGATAATAAGAGTCCCAGAAGACAATGGTTACGATGGATAAGCAGTAGGACGCTTGGATGGTGAGATATGAGGTCAGGAAGATGGCTAGAGCACAGGGCTCATAACCTATTAAGAACAAAGCTTGAAGGAAGTGTCTAGCCACTTGCTGAGAGCAATCAGGGACTGGAACTAGAGTCCAATGTGAGTAACTTTATTATTAGAGAGTATGACAGGTATACAGTACCTAGAGTCCAATGTGAGTAACTAGAGAATAGGAAGCATTGGACTCTGCAATACTGTCCGAAGTTTTGTAAACAAAGGTAAACAAAGCAGCCACAAAGGCGAAATAATAGAGAACACAATCAATAGTGAATGATAGAAGAATAGATAGAGAAAGGAATGAAAATATATAGGTAGCACAAAGGTGCAGAATCACCAAAACTAACAGATAGGACGTAATTCCTATCGCCGACTTACTTCTCTATAAATACGCTTGTAACAGTAGTAGTATTCTCCAATACGATTCTACGCAGTTCACGCTTACAAAGCTAGAACTTCCAAGATCAGACTTCCATACGGAAGAAGACCAACAACCGTTGGAATCCCTCTATTCAGAATTACATCCTCGAACTTGTCTTCGGATAAGTCTCTTTGAACAAACTCGACGAACCCTCAGACTTTGTTAAGCACTTTGTGCGTAACAAAAGAATCGTATTCCATACCAGAAGTCCCACCTATTTAGGTTTGGGAAGAAAAAGCCGACAATACATCGCAACAACCAAGAACCAGATCTCAGAGAGCAGGAAGAAGCTCAGACGATTTACAGACACAGACAGCAACACCCCCAACATCGTCCAGACAAGGAAGGATAGCAGCACCACCCCCCTTCCCTCAACCAGACGTCACCCGACTCCACACCAGAGAACAGGCAGACGCATTCTACGAAGCCAGAACACGTTGGCTACAGTTCTACGCGGAAAGTCATCCACAACTAATCCCTAGAACACAACACGATCCTCCAGTAACCACAGAAAACATCTACAACGAAGACGACTTCGAAGAATACACAGCGGAAGGTGAACCAATACCCCTTCCCACACCACAGATACTCCCCACCGCACCCAACCCATCTCCTACCCCACCTACCCACACCATGTCAAACGCTACGACACCCAAACCCACTATGATTGGGAAAATTGACGACTTTGATGGGACCCCAGACAAGGCCCAAAGATGGATATCATCCACTGACTTACACTTTGACATCAACGACACCATTTATACCTCGGACAAGAAAAAGGTGTACGTGGCTCTCAGCTACATGAAGGACGGAACCGCCGCCTCATGGAGTGAAGCCAAGATGACCAAATACAAAGACAAGAACGCCTACCCCACATGGGCAGATTTTATGAAAATGTTCACAGCCAGTTTCAGAACAGCAAATGTCAAAGGAACAGCTTCGGCCGCCTTGATGAAAATGAGGATGGAACCAGGAGAAAATGCAGTGGCATTCAACTCGAGGTTTATGCTAGATGCCGGGAAAAGCGGCATCAACAACGAAGCCATGATCATGGTTTATCAAAAAGCGATCCGACCCCCCCTCCTCCGCGGAGCACTCACCGGAAAGGAACTGGTCACCATTGAAGACTGGATGAACACGGTGGCCAACCTAGATGCCAACTGGATCAGTGCAAACACCATCTCGGAAGGAACGTGGGGGACCAGAAACAAAGAAAGACAGTACGACAAAAATCGCAAAAGTGGACCATCCACCAGCGTGAAAAGGCTGACCAAAGATGAAGAAGAAACCAGGAGGAAGGAAGGAAGGTGCTTCATATGCAACGAAAAAGGACACATCGGGAGAAATTGTAGGAACAAAGGAAAGACTCCCGAAAGAAAGGTACGTCAAACCGAAACTGAAGACGACGTCAAGACAGTGGTAGAAGAAGACAAGGTCCAAAACATCATGAGGATGTGGAGGGAGTTGGGAGAAGACCAAAGAGCTGAGGCGATGAAAGAATTAGAAGACGAGGGTTTTTGAAACGACGGACTACCCCGATGTTAGTACCGTCGAAAATGGCAACTGTAACAATAGCAACGATCAATGGCAACTCTTTACGAATCGATTGCTCGTTAAAACAGAAAACCATCGGAACCAAAGCCCTGATAGATTCAGGAGCTACGGACGACTTCATGGACACAAAATTCGCCATTAAAAACCGACTCCCCCTCCAAAAACTCCCGATCCCTATAACATGTAAAAAAGTTGACGGAACCACGAACAAAAACGGAAAAATTACGCATTGCACCTATCAGAGAATAGACGCAGGAGGACAAAACAGGTTTACGAAGTTTCTATTAACCGGACTGGACGGAGAAGACGTATTGCTAGGCTTCCCCTGGTTGCGAAAAGTCAACCCGGTCATTAACTGGAAAGACAAAGAATTACCGTACTCAGACAAACACTCAATCAGGACAAACCAAACTACCACGGAAACAAAAATCAGGACAACCACAGTAGACGAGGACGAGTACGAAACCATTCACAGATACGTATCCGACCGCACACCCTATCCTCGAACCACGATCCGGTTAAAAGTCAACTCGGCAATGGAACACGCGCAAATACACGGAGAAAGAAAAGAAAAACATATCCTCCCAGATGAATATAAGGGCTATTCAGACGTCTTTGACAAGAAGAAATTGGAAAGACTCCCCAAGCAACGGGAATATGATCATGTAATCAACATGAAACCGGAATTTGTACCAACAGATTGCAAATTGTACCCACTGGCACCAAAAGAAGATGAAGCGTTAACGGAATTCTTGACGGACAACTACAGAAAGGGATACATCAGGCCAAGCAAGTCGCCACAGGTGTCCCCCTTCTTCTTCATTGGCAAGAAGGACGGATCACTCCGACCATGCCAAGATTACAGAAAACTAAACACATACACCGTAAAAGACCCATATCCACTACCCCTGATACCCGACCTCATCGAAAGATTGAAAGGAGCCACCATCTTTACTAAACTGGATCTACGTTGGGGATACAACAACGTAAGGATAAAAGAAGGAGACAAATGGAAAGCTGCCTTCAAAACCAGCAAGGGAGTATTCGAACCAACGGTCATGTTTTTCGGCATGTGCAATTCCCCGGCAACATTCCAAAGGCTGATGAATGACAAATTCAAAGACTATATTGATGAAGGCTGGATGATCATATACATGGACGACATCCTCATCTTTGACACCCAGGTTGAAAGACTCCGCATCCGGACAAAACTAGTTCTACAAAGGCTACGAGAAAACGATTTATTCCTGAAACTTGAAAAATGTACCTTTGAGACGGAGACCATCGAATACTTGGGAATGATTGTTTCCCACAACCAGGTATCCATGGACCCAGCCAAACTCGCAGGAATACGCGATTGGCCAACCCCAAAAGACACCAAAGGCGTACGGAAGTTCTTAGGTTACGGAAACTTCTACAAAAAGTTTATAGGCCATTACTCTGACCTAGCCCGACCCCTAAACGCCTTGCTAGAAAAAGACAAAAAGTGGAACTGGACGAAAATCGAAGATGACGCTTTCAAACTATTGAAACAAAGATTCCTCGAATCCCCTGTAACCCAAATCCCCGATTCCTCGAAACTGTCGAAGATAGCAGCGGACGCGAGCAAACACGCCACCGGAGCTGTGTTAATGCAACCAGATGATCAAGGACAATGGCACCCGTGCACATTTTTCTCGAAAACCCTATCCCCCGCAGAGAAAAACTACCAGATCTACGACAAGGAACTTTTAGCGGTAATAAGAGCTCTGAAGGAGTGGAAACACCTGCTTTTAGGAAGCCCACACACGATCCAAATCCTAACGGATCACAAGAACCTGACGTACTGGCAGGAGGCCAGAAAACTCACACCACGACAACGAAGGTGGCAGCTAGAACTGTCACAATACAATTACACATTAGAGCACGTACCTGGAACCTACATGGTGGTACCTGACGCACTCTCGAGACGACCCGACTTGTACATTGATAACACGGACGACGACGACGACGACGACACCCCAATGATACCAGTGTCGGCATTTCTGTATCACACAAGAACAATAAAAGACACAATAGAGCAAGCAATGCTCACCAACGACAACTACCCTGGAAGAACAAAAAAGGAAGATTGGCACAAAGCGGAAGGACAGTTCTTCTATCAGAACAAACTACTGATCGACACTGCAGAAGAACAGAGAACGATCATCAAAAATCACCACGACTCGCTAACTGCAGGACACCCAGGAAGACTAAAAACCTATCAACTAATAAAGAAGTCCTATTGGTGGCCAGGAATGATGAAACAGGTAGAGGAATACGTGAAAGGATGCGCAACTTGCCAGCAAGCCAAAGTAAACACGCATCCGACCACAGTACCGTTGATCCCGAATCAAACACCGAAGACCAGTGAACCGATGAAGTATCTCTCGGTGGATTTCATTACAGACTTACCCGAGTCTATAGGGTATGACAGTATAATGGTCGTGGTAGACCAAGGACTTAGTAAGGGGGTAATCCTCTCACCTTGCCACAAAACCATTGACGCACTCGAAACTGCACGAATCTTCCATGACTCTGTCTTCAAACGGTTTGGACTACACGACAAAATCATATCCGACAGAGGCCCACAATTTGCCTCTGAAGTATCAAAAGAACTCCACAAACTCCTAAACATCGAAACCGCACTCTCCACGGCATACCATCCACAGACTGACGGACAAACAGAACGATCCAATCAAGAACTAGAGATCTACCTCCGCATCTTTTGCCAGAATCAACCACACAGTTGGGCAAAGTACCTTACGACGGCCGAATTCTGCCACAACCAACGGCCACACTCCACGAATAACCAATCGCCATTCTACCTCCTCATGGGATACGAACCCCGAGGAATCCTGACTAAACACCGATCCACAAACATCCCGTCAGTAGAAAAATGACTATCCGAACTACTTAGGGCAAGAGAGAACGCTCTAAAAGCACACGAACTAGCGAGAAGCAAGATGATGAAACGAACGAACGGAAAGTTCACCAGATTCTCAGAAGGACAAAAGGTGTGGTTAGAAAACACCAACCTGCGGGAAAAAGCCACCGAATACAAGAAGTTCAACATGAAACGCATCGGACCTTTCCGCATCCAAGAAAAGATCTCTCCGGTAAACTACCGATTATCGTTACCTCCCCATTGGAGGATACACAACGTTTTCCACGCATCCCTATTAACCCCGTATACCGAAACCGACACTCACGGTGTCATGCACCAAAGTTGATTGGTAGCATGGACAGGTGTCAATAACGAAGCAAATATTCAAAAAGACTCGCCTTTGCGCCACACAGGCACAGTGCCACGTGGAATAGTAATTAATATTGCCCTTTTTGAACTTGTGGCTGATCAGCACCACCTCTATTAGGCAATCCAGTCACGCTCACCTTTGCTTTTCCATCCGGTACTTTCCGCATTTCGGCATTTCGGCAAATTTTCGCGTCGCCACTGGCTACACATTGCATTGCGCCCTCGCTTTTGTCGTTTCCCTTACTCCCCTTCCTTTGCCTAGCCCCACCATGGGCCCCTTCCTCTCCTTTTTATTCTCACCCGACGGTCGTTTCTGGGTCCCCATTTTAGTTCACCTCCTCGTCACCTCCACCCTCCTCCTCCTCATCTTCTTTGCACCCCCACCATTTCTGATGTCACCACTTCCTATCTGCTTCCGTCGCCGATCCGTTGACTACCACGTGCCACTGCTGATATCAGCAAAGCCCCGGCGGCCGGTCCAAATAGGGCAACAGGTCCATCTTCATGACGTCGATCTGCCATCATATACTATCAAAACATCGGTCGCTCGTCTTGCCTGGTTGGAGCGTGGGTGGGTAGTTTTTGAGCTGGAGAAGGTTCATCCCCTTGCGTCGCCCATGTTCATCGCTGTCCCATTCACTTGGGTACACTTATCATTTGTCCATCGTCTTCGCTACAGCTACACGCTGCCTGGGACTCACTTGTTCCAAATTGGAACTACTCCTCTCCCTCCCTCGTTTGATCAGGTGGTCCAACACAACCAGTCCATTGGTAAGGCCATGGAACTGTCAGATTTGGACTAGGTGGTGGACCGGTGGCTCCAGTTTCTTTTTTTCAGCAGAACATTCATTTACAGTGCGATTATTTTTGATTTTTGAATCATTTTTATGGACACATATTTTTTTAGAATGCCTGACTGACAATAAAGGAACTGTGTTGATACTGATAGTGTTTTGCCTTGCTCTTTTTTTACTGCATCTTCCCATGACATCATGATTTTCCTGCTCTCTTTTTGCTATTGGACTTTACTTTATGGCTGTACAAACCTGTGATATTACTCACAGCATTTATTGTTCTATCCCTTTCTTTTCTTTTTTTTGACAATCTTATCCTGTACTACCTACGCAGGATTCGTCAGCGTACATTCCTTCCTTCATATTCTTTCTCATTCTTTTTGCACAGCTATACTGTGCATAGCCTACTTCTCTTTTACTATATAAACCCCTGTATTTTACCTTGTAAAAAAACAACAAGAACTCGATTCCAGACTTCTTCTCTAATCTCAAGTTCACTACTCTGCTACTTGTGATCCAGTGTGGTCACAACACTTCCCACTTCTACCACTGTTAACTGCTGTCATCGTCACTCGTCACTTTTTGAAAGTGATTGTCATCCCCTTCGATTAGAGTCCTTCTGAGCACTACAGTTTGTGCGTCAGGAGCCTGCTATCACTGGGAACCTCGTCACCTCGTCATCCTCGTTGTTCTCAAACCTACCTTGTGCTACGATTAGCAAGGTAGTGCTCGTCTATACTCGCCACAAAGCCCCTATCTTTCTATAAATTCAACTATCCCTCCTCCTCAAAACCCACACTCATACACCACTGGGTTTTACTTTGAAGGATCTTTATACGTACCACCCCACGAACAACCAGACCACTCCACTGTTCTAGGAGGCAAAGCCCATAAACAAGTTCCGTGGAATCTGGGAGGATTGTGTGTTAGTTTGTTTTGTGTGTGGTTTTCTAACAACAGTTCTCATCATCGACAACGGACCGAACTTTATCCGACCACCACCTGACCTTATCAACGAAGAAGAAGAATATGAAGTAGAAAGTATTCTTAGACACAAACCCTGGAAACGCGGACGCCGTTACCTGATCAAATGGCGCCATTACCCTCATTCCGAAAACTCATGGGAACCAGAAGAACACCTGACCAATGCTGCGGAGATACTGGAAGCCTATAAGAGAGACCACAAACTGCGTTGAAGAGACAACCACCCCCACCACCACCAATCCTCTGTCTCTCAAAACACACAACATGTCTACTTCTCACTCTACCGGCTTCCCCATCACCACCTACTCTGTACCCGGCGAAGCCAACATGCTAGCCGACGAACGAGTGTCCTTTGCCCGAGGGCAACGACACAACCAGGCTGACGTCTCTGACGCCATAGAATTAATGTCAGCCAAAAACGCCCACGTCTATCTATTTCGTGAAACAGAAAAACACTATCCCGATGCGTACCACGCTCTTTCTTCCCTATACACCTTCCTTAACATAGACCTCGTGGCTGACGAACTCCTGAAAGCCATAGACTCACTACATTTGTTGGAAAACGAGCATTCGCGGCACAACAATCAGGACTCGAGTATCTGTCGGGCACTCCGGATGGAAAAGTTAGTTTTGGAATCTTTGGAACGACGCTTGAGGATGAACTCCTTGAGTGGGCAGACGGACGCGGCAAAGGCATATTTGGAATTAGGCGGGAAGATCTTGCTAACTGAAGCGCGCACACGGATAGAGCGAGACGGCTATACGAGTACTCCTCCACCCGGTTTGTCCCGCCGGTCCCCATTACACCCAGATCAGATCAGTGTTACCCCGGAGCTCACCTACCCCACCGCTTCCCCACAACCTCCGCCCACCCAGTTAGCGGAAAAATACATTCCCACCGTCCCAACCAGCCCGACCTCACAAGGGTCGAACCCCTCCAGTCCCCGTTCCACTGGGTCGAACCCAGAACCACTACCACCGCAGTCACCTCCGCCTCGACCGGTACCAAACGCCCAAACCCGTCGCCTGACGAAACGACGAGGAGCCCGGCTAGGCCGACAAGAAGTGATACTCCAGATCCCCGCCGTCAGAACTCCATCAAATCGGCGATCTTGTACGTCAAAGAGTCCGAAAGACAGTCCGCCTGGCGTAACGCGCAGGCCTGAGACCGGCTCCCCTTCCAATCCAATCAACGTAGATGACGCCGACATGATCGACCAATTGTACGCGGGAACGTACAACCTGGGAGATGACGATCCCCCCACTCCCAAATCCGACACCTCGTCCAATACCCAACGAAAGTACCACCAAGGTGTTCGCGACAACGCTCCTTACTGTCAAAACTGCGGTTGGAGTGATCATCGTACATATTATTGCGAAGCTTACTACTGCCCCGACTGCAATAGACGCGCACCAGGGCATAGTTTCAATTGGTGCCCTATTCGTAGGGAAAACGAAGATAGGATTCTGATGGAGGGATTACATGGAGATGTCAGCTACGACGACAGCTACAACATGGATGGCGAGGGTACCAAATTTCGGTGAAATTCGAAGCAAGTAAGGGGGTAATGTTATGATTTGTCTATCTATATTACGGACTACTCATTTCTCTTTACTCATCGGTTATACCATCGGACCGATGACTCACATCCCTCACATACACTTCCGCTCCTCTCGCATTTCTATTACTTTGTATAGTACTCAGTCCTCAACGGACAGACCTACCCTAGATAGGACGTAACTCCTATCGCCGACTTACTTCTCTATAAATACGCTTGTAACAGTAGTAGTATTCTCCAATACGATTCTACGCAGTTCACGCTTACAAAGCTAGAACTTCCAAGATCAGACTTCCATACGGAAGAAGACCAACAACCGTTGGAATCCCTCTATTCAGAATTACATCCTCGAACTTGTCTTCGGATAAGTCTCTTTGAACAAACTCGACGAACCCTCAGACTTTGTTAAGCACTTTGTGCGTAACATCACGTCGTTGCTCTGTGCATTTCTATATCTTTTGTGAATATCATGATATCATCCAGATATATGATAACTAATCCTTCGTCTATCAACTCTCTAAAAAGCGTGTTCATCATTGTTTGGAACGTGGCAGGGGAGTTTGTCAGTCCGAACAACATGACTAACAGTTCGAATAACCCCCAATTTGTTCTAAACGCTGCTTTCGGTTCATCTCCTTCTTTTATTTGGATATTGTTATATCCCCATCTTACATCTAGTTTTGTGAAGTATTTAGCTCCACTCAACTTGTCCACTAGTTCTCCGATCAGTGGAAGTGGATATCTGTTTTTGATAGTGATATCATTTAACTTCCTATAATCTTGAACTGGTCTTAGCTTTCCATCTTTCTTTTTTATGAAGAAGAAGGGTAATGCGAATGGGGATTTTGATGGTCTTATCCGTCCCGATTCTAGGTTTTATTTTAAGAATGCATCTAGTTCTTCTTGTTCTCCTTTCGTTAATGGGTAGATCTTGCAATCTAGGGAGTGATCCCCTGGTACTAGTTCGATTGCGTGATCCCATTGTTTTCTTTCAGGTAATGTATCAAACTCCTTTTTATCAAATACGTCTTTGTATTGATGAAGGTGTTTTGGTACTATCTTTTCAAATCCTCCTTCTTTTCGATCTTTGCCTGCGGCTTCAGCCAGCTTCTGTGCCATTGTGCCTTGAGCTCTAATATGGTAATATTGATCGTCGATCGTGGCATCTTCGAAGTTCTGGAGATTCACCTGTATCATTCTCTCTTCCGCTTCAAGTTCTTCGAAGAATATTTCCGGATCTTCCTCTGGGTCAGAGATTTGGATTCTCAGGTTACATTCTTCGGGACATCTTTCGAAGGTTAACTTTGACTCTTTCCAATCTATCTTTGGATTGTGTTTGCTTAGCCATTCATGTCCTAGAAACATTTTTCCGTTACCCAGATTGGTTACGGCTAGATGTATCTTTTCGACGTGACTGTCGATTTCCATGAGTAGCATTACAAATTCACTGATGGCTCTGTTTCTGTTAAGAGTTCCATCTGCGTTATAGACTGGAATAGGTCTAGGTATCCTTTTTGTCTCATATTTTTTGTCTTTTACAAATTGGGAGTCGATGCAACTCCCCGTGCATCCACTATCCAATAATGCTTCGACTATTTCTGTTTGGAGAGTATCTAGTGTAGTAAGCTTACATTTTACGTTCATTTGATTGCCTTGGGTGCCCCTAATGTACTTTTTAGGGGAGGCAATTTCTATGATTGCTTGTATAGCTTCTACTTTTGGTAACCGGTTGATTTCTTTTATCGTTTCCCGGGTTACTTCTCTAGTTCTCTTTTTGTGTGTCCAGGCGCTTAGAATCCCAATGGATCTTTCTTCCTTTTGGTCTCTTAGCCTGTCCACTACCCACTCTGGGGTCCAAACTTCTTTTCTTTCTAGGTTTTTTAGAGGGGTTCCTGACCTCTCTTCTACAGTCTCTGCTGCGTTTTCCTCCGTAGAGTTCACTGCATCGGGTGTAGGAATCTTAACATCCGTCGTCAATGCTGCGCTTTTTAGTGATTTGCCCGCCGTCAAAACTGCGGATGTCTTATCACTCTGCGCCGCTCTTGTGTTTGCATCTCTTTTGTTTCTGATTTCCTTTTTTGTCTGTGTGTTAATAATTTTATTGTCATCTGCGCTAAAGCAGCAGCTTAACAATTCAGGGTTACATGTTTCTACAGTCAAAGGAAGAAATCGGTTCGAAACATCTTTTTTAGGCACAGTCGGTTGATGCGGTACCGCTGGCCTCTTTAAAAACCCTCTAGGATTTTTTCTCTTTCCTCTTTCGTCATCTTCTCTAAGAATTCGCGGACATTGAATTGTGGCTTCTTTTTTTGTGCATCTTTGCACTCGAAGCTTCTATGTCCTTTTTCTCCGCATCGGTAGCATTGTCCTTCCGTATGGAACTTTGCTTTGTCTATCTCCATTTTCTCTCCGTTACCGGTATAAGTATAACCGGTTCCATCTCTCTTCTTGTCTCCTTCTTTCTTTTGTTCCAAATTGGTTCTTTTTCCAATCTCGGAACCTTTCTTTTCCTTTTCTCTTTCTCTCCAAATATAGTCCAATGAGTTCTCTTTTCCATTCCTGATAGTCTCTAGGAATGTGTCCACCGTAGATCACCCTGTCTACTAGTGGTTTGTTCATGTTTCTTCTCAGTAATGAAACTAAGAATTCTTTGTTCATTCTGTTTGTGTACCCCGCCCATCTTTTCTTTTCTTCAAACCTTTCAAAAAAGGCTTGGGCGGTTTCATTGCCCTGTTTCAGGGTCAATATTTTGTTCTTGGCAGTCTCTTTTTCAAAACTGTCCTTGAACGTTTCTTCCATCTTGTCGGCAAAGTACGGCCAACTTCTGTATGTATGTGTAATGTTGAGCCCTAGTTGTTGGGCGTCAACTCTGTTTTCTAGCCAGTCGGTCCGAAAGGCCGCGGCTTCTCCATCTTTCATAAAAGACAGCACGGAGCTTATCTTTTTTCTGTCGTCTTTAAAATAGACAGCGTCATCTTCAAAATGTAAAAGTAGGGACTCTCTAAAGGCCCGGTACTTCTTCTTGTCTCCTGAGAAGTTCTCTGGCTTCTCTAAGGCTGTCCTACTTCTTTCCACCTTTTCTGGAGGTGGCGCTGTTTTCGTTTTTAGTCTTCTTTCTAAGACGCTCACTTCTTCGAATGCCTCGTCTAGCTGGGATTGATATAGCATTTGTGTTTCTCTGATCGCTTTTTCTACTTCTTGTTTTACGAATGCTTCTAATGATACTTCTTTCGGTGGAGGAGTGTCTATTCTGGGCAATGAGTCCATCATTTCCCGAGTAAATGCGCTGTCCGTGCTGTTGGATGGCTCTGGCCAATCTCGATATTCTAGATTGGACATTTCTGAATTCGAGTTGTGGTGGTGGGGGAGTTTCGGATTTGATTATGGGGGAGGGGTTTCTGATCAGTGTGATTTCTGGTAGAGGGAATTGTTCTCTGAAAACGTAATCTCTGGAATAAACGTGTTGTTCTCCTATCCAGATATAAAATTATCTACTGAGCATAGAAAGGAGTTCCCCAGTGATAAGCTGGATCTATACACCTCTTTCTAAGATCTCGGTAGTCTATCTTTTTTCTCTTTGAGTCAAGGTGATCCTCTTCCATTCACCACTGACTGTGTAGGTACTGTAACTATTTTTGTATTTTTATGAATTTTATGTAAAAGCTATCGTGATAAGACTGGGTCCGAACGGTTGTCCAGTTATAACCGGCTTATTAAGCTCTCGGTTCTTCTCCTGACTGGCGGACGCAAGTGCGCGGCCTGGTCAGAGGAAAGCAAAATTGAAACTAAGTAAAAACGAGAAAATTCCTATGGTTCCACACCAAAGGAATTATATTGATATAATTGTAGCTAAAGGGGGATGGTGACGAAGGAGTCTTGGGAGGAGACATTTGCTGGGAAAAATGATACAATAGTGTCGGGGCAAGTAGGAATATTGTTTAGTGGGATGATGGGTTGAGTGCGAGGTTTGTAAAAGAGTTTGAGTAAGGTGAGGATAATGATGATAAGGATGATGATGATGGTTAGGATAGCTGCTGTTACGTTCATGGACGGTACTTGTTACAGTTGTTGATTGTGTAAGATTCCTATCCCCTATACCGAGTTAATGGAGGGACAAGTCTCAAAGATCAACAAGTAGTGTCAAGTACTAGATTAAGAAGTAATCAACAACTGAAGAAAGTATGTACATGAGTGCTGGTATATATATGTTTTCTGAAGGTCAACCATGAGGCGCTGACTGATGTTTTTACGTTATGGTCTAGGCTTTATCACGTGACTAACTACTAACTACTGAACTTGTGTTCTTGTCTTGTGTTTGTCACGTGATTAGATATAAATAAAATGAAAAAAAAAACTAGCGCTCTGGCTCAAGTCGTGACAATAATGACTCCTAGGAGTACAATTGTGCTCCTAGGAGAACAATGGTTACTCCATGGAGTGGTGGCTATGCTCCATGGAGAACAATGGCTGCTTCGGCAGAGACCGGGTTTATCCGGTTTTGTCACTCCCACTCAAGTGCAACTGTAGTCCCATAGCTTTAGAGAATTTCCAGTGTTTTTCATGAGTGAGGGGTTTAGTGAGAATGTCTGCAACCATATCTCCTGTAGGAACGTATCTGATTACTGCCTCTCCCTTTGATACTAAGTCATCTTGGATAAAATGATATTTCCATTGAATGTGTTTTGTGCGAGCACGGAACTGTGGATCTCGTGTAAGAATGATAGCTGCTTGATTGTCACAGTGCAATGTTGTAGGTCCATTTTGAGCATGTCCAATTTCTTCAAAAAATGTCCAAAGCCATGCAAGGTGTTGTCCAGCATTGCTCAATCCAATGTACTCTGACTCCGTGGAGGATAAAGCTACCATGCTTTGTCTTTTGCTTGTCCAGGAGATTGCTCCTCGGATGGTGATAAAGACAAACCCTGATGTTGATCGAGACGTGTCTGGGTCTCCAGACCAATCTGCATCTGAATATCCATAGAAATC